AATAAGTAAAAACCCAAAAACAATGACTTAAATTTGTTTAAGGTTTAGTGTTATTTTGACCACAATAGCAAGTATTTGATGCTGTTTTGTTTAAATAAAAAACATAAATTTAAACCAAAAATCCAATTTTTCCTTATCTACATGTGTCAACAAGGGTCAAATGTTATTTTTAACAGCAGACGTTGTTATGAAAAAAAAAAACTAAAAGCCTAACATTAGGAGTAGGATATTTTATTTAACTATTGCCTGCTTTTTGGGGGGTTTGATTTTTATTGTCTTTATATGAAATAGCTATGAAATTGTTGTGTTAAAACATTAAAAACACTTTAAGTTGTTGGAAATAGCAAAGGACTTATCTAAAAAGTTAGATTTTCTGTCTTTTTTTGCTCAAAGTTTAAAGAAAGGGAAAAGTCCTTTAAAAGATTTTCTTTATTTGTTTTTGAGCCTCATTACCATAATTTTTATATTTACATTATTTTGTTTTCTTTTGACGCAATCACTTGTTATTTTATATCCTTGCAGGCAAATAAAATTCCACATACCGTCTCAAATAATACTTCAAAACAGGAAGGATCTACAAACCAGCATTTGACTTTGTTTTGGTTTTTCTGTCTAAAAGAGTTTACGGTTTTTTTGGGGCGGTAAGTTTGTTATAACATAATATTGAATACCCTACACTAAGGCATATTATTAAGAGACTAAGTACCACCACTAGCTCCTTTTATCCATCTCTTGATTTTCTAGTTGTTTTCTTAAGTATACTTTTCAACTTCCCTTAACCTAAGTAGTGCTCTTTTCCTTTAAACTTGACCTACTCCAATCTCGTTTCACTTTCTTTTATATTTTCCTTACAATTTATTCAGTCATGTAGAAAAAATTTCAAAATAAATTAGTTTTTCTTTTATATTCACTGTTTAAAAAGCGAACTCACTCTTCTTTCTAAAACAAATTTTGTGAAAAAAAAAATCTATATAAAACAAACTCTTGCCATCATCAAAAACCTAAAATATATGTATAGCCAGAAAAATATCTCAAGAATTTAATATTGGACAGAATTTCATAACAAAACAACAAGAAAAATAACGAAAAATACTTCAGGGTATTGAGCGAAATAGAAAGCAAAAAAAAAAAAACTTAAAATGCCGCCAAACCTTAAAGACAGTACCACAAAATATGTATAGAAGAAAACAACTACTAGGTATAATTTATTTTATTACCCCTAAAAGTATGCTAGAGAATAAAAAAATGAGACAAGCACAAAAAACAAGAGTTCAAATATACAGAGAAAATTACATATAGAAAAGGCCAATATCTTCAAGTTTATGTTAGTGAACTTGAATATTCTTTCAATTTAATTTATGTTTAAGTAGTAGAAAAAAACTAAAGTATAGTTTTAGGCATAAAAGCACATAAAGAGCAGAAATGATGCGCCTTGGGAGTTTATCACAATATTAAACAAATTTAAGATAAAAAAAGGGAAATATTTAAAAATCAATTAAAGACCATACTATAGACTAGACTACAGGCTAGACTATAGACTGGATTATAGACTAGACTATAGACTGGCCTATAGACTAGACTATAGACTGGCCTATAGACTAGACTATAGACTAGACTATAGACTAGACTATAGACTAGACTATAGACTAGACTATAGACTAGACTATAGACTAGACTATAGACTAGACTGTAGACTAGACTATAGACTAGACTATAGACTAGACTATAGACTAGACTATAGACTAGACTATAGACTAGACTATAGACTAGACTATAGACTAGACTACAGGCTAGACTATAGACTGGATTATAGACTAGACTATAGACTGGCCTATAGACTAGACTATAGACTGGCCTATAGACTAGACTATAGACTAGACTATAGACTAGACTATAGACTAGACTATAGACTAGACTATAGACTAGACTATAGACTAGACAGACTAGACTATAGACTAGACTAGACTAGACTATAGACTAGACTAGACTAGACTATAGACTAGACTATAGACTAGACTATAGACTAGACTATAGACTAGACTATAGACTAGACTATAGACTAGACTATAGACTAGACTATACTAGACTAGACTAGACTAGACTATAGACTAGACTATAGACTAGACTATAGACTAGACTATAGACTAGACTATAGACTAGACTATAGACTAGACTATAGACTAGACTATAGACTAGACTATAGACTAGACTATAGACTAGACTATAGACTAGACTATAGACTAGACTATAGACTAGACTATAGACTAGACTATAGACTAGACTATAGACTAGACTATAGACTAGACTATAGACTAAGATAGACTATAGACTAGACTATAGACTAGACTATAGACTAGACTATAGACTAGACTATAGACTAGACTATAGACTAGACTATAGACTAGACTATAGACTAGACTATAGACTAGACTATAGACTAGACTATAGACTAGACTATAGACTAGACAATAGACTAGACTATAGACTAGATAGACTAGACTATAGACTAGACTATAGACTAGACTATAGACTAGACTATAGACTAGACTATAGACTAGACTATAGACTAGACTATAGACTAGACTATAGACTAGACTATAGACTAGACTATAGACTAGACTATAGACTAGACTATAGACTAGACTATAGACTAGACTATAGACTAGACTATAGACTAGACTATAGACTAGACTATAGACTAGACTATAGACTAGACTATAGACTAGATAGACTAGACTATAGACTAGACTATAGACTAGACTATAGACTAGACTATAGACTAGACTATAGACTAGACTATAGACTAGACTATAGACTAGACTATAGACTAGACTATAGACTAGACTATAGACTAGACTATAGACTAGACTATAGACTAGACTATAACTAGACTATAGACTAGACTAGACTATAGACTAGACTATAGACTAGACTATAGACTAGACTATAGACTAGACTATAGACTAGACCTATAGACTAGGACTATAGACTAGGACTATAGACTAGACTATAGACTAGACTATAGGACTAGACTATAGACTTGACTATAGACTAGACTATAGACTAGACTATAGACTAGACTATAGACTAGACTATAGACTAGACTATAGACTAGACTATAGACTAGACTATAGACTAGACTATAGGACTAGACTATAGGACTAGACTATAGACTAGACTATAGACTAGACTATAGACTAGACTATAGACTAGACTATAGACTAGACTATAGACTAGACTATAGACTAGACTATAGACTAGACTATAGACTAGACTATAGACTAGACTATAGACTAGACTATAGACAGACTAGACTAGACTAAGACTAGACTATAGACTAGACTATAGACTAGACTATAGACTAGACTATAGACTAGGACTAGACTAGACTATAGACTAGACTATAGACTAGACTATAGACTAGACTATAGACTAGACTATAGTCTAGAGAAATATGTATATTTATAAAAGTTTGCTTAGCAAGTGCACAATTTGTTTCTTTATATTCCTTTTTCCAACTCCCTAACTTAGGCAAACAAATCTTAAACCCTTTTTTTGGGCTTACCATCAAAAAATAAACAAATGTCGTTTATTTTTATTGTGAAAAAAAAACATAAAAAATTCCTGAGACATAAATTTTGTTTCGAAATCATAATCATAATACTTATCACATGTAAATTTCGCAAACAAATAAACTTGTTGCATAATTTAAGGGTGTCTTAGAACATCTATAAATAAAAGAGTTAAAATTGTGTTTCTTTAGGGAGTGTTATGCTTTATTTGCAAAATAAATAAGAAAGAAAAATATTTTTAGTGACTTATGTATGTATTATAACAAAAATAGAGCCTAAAAGTAGACTAAGATTTTTAGGGGTGATAGTAAGAAGGTGAATTATATATTATTGACAAAATTTTTTATTATTCTAATAATAAAAATAAAATATTGGGAAAAAAATATTAGAAAACTAATCAAATACAACAAAATCCTAAAAGTAGGCTATGATTTGTTGTATAATCTAATAAAGAACAACAGCTGTTTTGGAAAAACTTTCTGTAGAAGCAATTAAATTTGTTGAGAGATTTCAGGGAGGTATTATTTTATGGAAATTTTTTTTGCTTAACAACTATTTGGGAAGATTTCTTTTTAAAAATAATTTAAAGAAAATAAATTTGAATAAAAAGTTTTATTGAAAATTTACTTATTTTTGTTTAGTAAACAAAATAATTGTTTAAAAATTTTTAGTTTTGTTGTGCTAAAATAAACTTTAAAGCAATTGTCATAAAATTTTTTTTAAAATTTCTTATGAAAACTCCTAAAAATATACTACAATATTGTTTATATTTTATTTATATGACTTTAACAACAATAAGAAGAATGATTACATTTAAAAAAAATAACATGTGTCATAAAAATATGATTGCATGCTTTTTACTACTGTCACAAACAGTAGAGTTTATGCTAAAGACATTTGTATACTTTTAGGCTTTTGAAACTCACTCTTAAAAGACAATAAAATGCCTGCAGTTAACAGAAACACAACAATTCAATTAAACTTTTGCTATAACAGAAAAATAATAATAAAACAAGAAGTTGAATTAGTAATAAACTAAAAAAAATTTATAAAATAATAACTAAACTTAAATGAAACCTTAAAGTAGGCAGCAGTTTTTAGACAAATTTGTTATAAGGAGGAAAGTAATACTTTTAATTGAGCTTAAAGTTTTTGTTATAGATTTATCTTTTTTCAATTATAAAAGCTGAACAAAATATAAATTCTTATAGTAAACAAATAAGCCTAAAACTAGGCCATAATTTTTCAATAAAGCTGCTACCAAAGGAAAAAGCTTATGTTTTTAAACAGCTCTTTAGTTCTATGTTAAATTTCACTAAATTTCAACATTTCTTATTCTCCTCTGACTTTTTAAAGCCTTCCCCCTCTCCTTTAATATCTTCCCTCCCTAAAAACATACTTCCTTTTTTCCTAATTACTTACATGTTATCTTTTTTGCCATCATTATCTTTTCTTCCTTTCCCTTCCTTTCACTTTTAACTTAACTTTCCTTCCATTAAACGTTTTGTCATTTTGTCCTGCCATCGACCCACCTCCTCTACAAGTCCTTCCTGCTTTCCGTCATATTAGTATTTTTCACACTTCTTTTCGTTAATTTTATGTGAGTGTTAATAATGTTGTAATAAAAAATCATATTAAGTTTAAGCAAAAAATGGAACTTTTATACACTCAAGGTTAAATCAGTCATCATTGGCATAAAAAAACTGTAATATATCAAGGATTTTTTAGCATTATTTTTTGTTTTGAAGAATCTTTAGTCTTTTTAGGGGAAATTGTTAAATGAGCTTTAAGCAATACAAAACAAAATGTAAAATTAAATTATGAGCAAAATAACAAAAACTAAATATACAGTGGTAAAAATACTATAATCTGGACTATAATATAATATAGTCTATAATCTGGACTATAATAGTCTATAGTCTGGACTGAAATCTAGTCTATAGTCTGGATTGAAATCTAGTCTATAGACTGGACTAAAATCTAGTCTATTGTCTAGTCTACTTATAGTCTAGATAATTTCTAGTCTATAGTCTGGGCTAAATTCTAGTCTATAGTCTTTACTATAATCTAGTCTAAAGTCCGGACTATAATCTAGTCTATAGTCTGGACTATAATCTAGTCTAAAGTCTGGACTGTAATCTTATCTATAGTCTGGACTAGAATCTAGTCTATATCTATATATCTATATAGACTATAATCTAGTCTATAGTCTGAACTATAATCTAGTCTATAGTCTGGACTACAGTCTGGACTATAGTCAAGTTTATAATCTACAACCTTGTCTGTAATCTAGTATCTAGTCTGGACTGTAATCTAGTATCTAGTCTGGACTGTAATCTAGTCTATAGACTGGACTAAAATCTAGTATATTGTCTACTCTATAGTCTGGACTATAATGTAATCTATAGTCTGCACTATAATATGCTCTATAGTCTGAGCTATAATCTAGTTTATAGTCTGGACTATAATGTACTCTATAGTCTGAACTATAATCTAGTCTATAGTCTGGACTATACTCTAGTCAGTAGTCTAAACTATAATGTAGTCTGGCCTATAATCTAGCCTATAGTCTGGACTATAATCTAGTCTGTAATTTAGTTTATTGTATGGACTATAATCTGGTCTATAGACTGGCCCATAATCTAATCTAGTCTATAGCCTGGACTATAATATAGTCTATAGTCTGGACAATAATCTAGTCAATAGTCTGAACTATAATGTAATCTATAGTCTGGCTTATAATATAGCCTATAGTCTGGACTATAATCTAGTCTGTAATCTAGTTTATTGTCTATAGACTGACACATAATCTAATTTATAGTGTGGACTATAATCTAGTCTATAGTCTGGACAATAATCTAGTCAATAGTCTGGACTATACTCTAGTCTATAGTCTGGACTGTAATCTAGTCTAAAATCTGGACTATAATCTAGTCTATCGTATGTTCTGTAAGACTGTAATCTAGTCTATAGTCTGTACTGTAATCTAGTCTATAGTCTGGACTATACTCTAGTCAATAGTCTGGACTATAATCTAGTCTATAGTCTGGACTATAATCTAGTCTATAGTCTGTAATATAATCTAGTCTGTAGTCTGGACTATAATCAGTCTATAGTTTAGTCTATAGTCTGAACTATACTCTAGTCAATATTCTGGACTATAATCAGTCTATAGTCTGGACCATAGTCTAGTCTATAGTCTGGCCTATAATCTAGTCTATAGTCTGGACTATAACCTATTCTATAGTCTGGACTGTAATCTAGGCTATAGTCTGGACTGTAATCAAGTCTATAATCTAGTCTATATTCCGGATTTTAACCTAGTCTATAGTCTGGAATATAGTCTAGTCTGCAGCCTGGACTATAATCTGGTCCATAGTCTGGACTAAAGTCTAGTCTATAGTCTGAACTATAATCCAGTCTATAGTCGGGACTATACTCTAGTCTATAGTCGGGACTATACTGTAGTCAATAGTCTGGACTATAATCTAGTCTAGTTCTGTACTATAATCTAGTCTATAGTATGGACTATTATCTAGTCTAAAGTCTGGATTGTAATCTAGTCTATAGTCTGGACAGTAATCTAGTCTGTAATATAGTTTATTGTATGGACTATGACCTAGTCTATAGTCTTGACTATAATCTAGTCTATAGTCAGGACTATAACTTGGACTATAGTGTAGTCTATAGTCTGGACTATAATCTATTCTATAGTCTGGACTATAGTATAGTCTACATTCTGAACTATAATCTAGTCTATAGTCTGTATTATAGTCTAGTCTACAGTCGAGATTATAGTTTGTATTGTTATTTGGTCTATAGTCTAAACTATTTTATAGGGATTGTTGGTTGGACTAGATTCTACACTCTGGACTATAATCTAGACTATAGGCTGTAAGTATAGACTGGACATTCGTCTTGGTTATAGTCTACATTATGGGCTCTTCTACAGACTATATACCCCACTAGCTACTAATTTTTTTCATTAAATATTTCTATTAAAAATCTGATTTTGAAGAAGAATTTCTTTGTTTTCACTAAAAAAATCTGCATTATTGTCATCCTAAATTGACATGTCACCTCTTGATAGTTTTACAAAAAGTATTTGCTACCAAATTAGCCATCACTGTTTAGATCTGAAAATATTGTTAAATTAATAAAATGTAAACAAAGTACTTTTAAGCAACTTACCTTTTGTTGTTGTTGTCATTTTACAGCAAAAAACACTATTACTTTTTTTTCACATTTTGCCGCCAACAACAACATAGTATTCAGTAATGCTTCACTTGCATATACTTGCACTCCCATTGAACAACATTCTTTTTCTGTCCATAACTCATCCACTGTTTGTCTGCTTACGCATGGCTCTGGAAACAGAAAACTGTGACCGCCTTTACAATATTTGGCAAATTTGTTCTTTTTCGGTTTTGAAACTGTTCTAACAACTTTTTTTACTAATTTACAAAACACTTTTCATAAATATTTTATATACAAATATAAATTAACATTTTCTTAATAATATGCAACAAAAATATTTTAATATAAACAATTAATTAACGCGTTAGATTAATTTAAACAGAACTATTGACAATAAACAACCGAAAACTTTAGAAATTTAAAGAAAACAAAAGCAAAATAAGAATAACAACAAAAGCATCACTTGTTGCAGTTGCAGTTGTTGTTCTTGTTATTGTTATTATTTGCTCTTTAACTAGTAGACTAATAATAACAACAATAACAATCACAAATACAATTGTCATTTGTTCCTTTAGTTATTTGTCTTCTGCTTTTTGCTCTTTTACTAGTAGAGTAATAACAAACAACAACAATTACAAATACAATTGTCATTTGTTCCTTTAGTTATTTGTCTTCTTCTTTAGTTTTCTATAAATTTCTAAAGTGTTCGGTTGTTTAAGGTTAATAGTCCCGTTTAAATTAATCTAACGCGTTAATTAATTGTTAATATTAAAATATTTTTGTTGTATTTTATTAAGAAATTGTTAATTTATATTTGCACATAAAAATATTTGTGAAAAGTGTTTTTGAAATTAGTGAAAAAAGTGTTAAAACATTTCAAAAAACGAAAAAAAGCACAATTGTTAAAATGTGGTCGTTTTTTTTTTTTTTTGGTTTCCATGGCCTTTCGCAAGCAGACAAACAGCGGCAGAATTATGAATAGAATGAGTGTGTAGGTCAGTGGGAATGCAAGAGGAGGCATTAATATTATGTTGTTGTTATTACAATTATTTAAAGAAGATAGATTTCATCTTCAAGGAATATGGAGGAACATTTTAGACATAACTGTGTTTTTGCTGTAACATAAGAAGGCAATGACAACAACAACAACAAAAAATAAAGGTAAGTAATTAAAAAATATTTATTTTGTATACTTTTTATTAGGGTTTAACAAAATATTTCGTTTTAAACAATGAAGTAAAGTACTTTTTGTAAAAACATGACTATAGTCCAGACTATAGAATAGACTATTCAATAGACTATAGTTTAGACTATAGACTAGACTATTGTCAAGACCCGACTATAGAACAGACTATAGTCCAGACTATACACTAGACTATAGTTCAGACTATAGACTAGACTATAGTACAGACTATAGACTAGACTATAGTCCAGACTATATACTAGCCTATATTCCAGACTATAGACTAGCCTATATTCCAGACTAGATTATATTCCAGACTATAGACTAGACTATTTTCCAGACTATAGACTAGACTATTTTCCAGACTATAGACTAGATTATAGTCCAGACTATTGACTAGACTATAGTCCAGACTATAGGCTAGACTAGTCTGGAGACTATAGACTATAGTCTATATGGACTATATAGACTCTGGACTATATAGACTCTGGACTATATAGACTCTAGACTATAGTTCAGACAATAGGCTAGTTTATAGACTATAATCCAGACTATAGACTAGACTATAATCCAGACTATAGACTAGACTACAGTCCAGACTACAGACAAGACTATAGTCCAGACTACAGACTATAGGCCATAGTCCAGACTATATGCTATAGTGCAGACTATAGACTAGACTGTAGTCCAGACTATAGACTAGACTATAGTCCAGACTATAGACTAGACTGTAGTCCAGACTATAGACTAGACTATAGTCCAAACTATAGACTAGACTATAGTCCAGACTATAGACTAGACTATAGTCCAGACTATAGACTAGATTATAGTCCAGACTATAGACTAGACTATAGTCCAGAGTATAGACTAGACTATAGTCCAGACTATAGACTAGACTATAGACTAGACTATAGTCCAGACTATAGATTAGACTATAGGCCAGACTATAGGATATAGTCCAGACTATAGGATATAGTCCAGACTATGGACTAGACCATAGTCCGGACTATAGACTCTAGACTAGACTATAGATCAGACTATAGACTAGACTATAATCCATACTACAGACTTGACTGTAGTCCAGACTATAGACTAGACTATAGTCCAGACTATAGACTAGACTATAGTCCAGACTATAGACTAGACTATAGTCCAGACTATAGACTAGCCTATAGTCCAGACTATAGACTAGACTATAGTCCAGACTATAGACTAGACTATAGTCCAGACTATAGACTAGACTATAGTCCAGACTATGGACTAGATTATAGTCCACACTATAGACTAGACAATAGTCCACACTATAGACTAGACTATAGTCCAGACTATAGAGTCTATAGTATAGTCTAGTCTATAGTCCAGACTATAGGCTAGACTATAGTCCAGACTATAGGCTAGACTATAATCCAGACTATAGGCTAGACTATAATTCAGACTATAGGCTAGACTATAGTCCAGACTATAGGCTAGACTATAGTCCAGACTATAGGCTAGACTATAGTCCAGACTATAGGCTAGACTATAGTCCAGATTATAGGCTAGACTATAGGCTATAGTGCAGACTATAGACTAGACTATAGTCCAGACTATAGACTAGACTTTAGTCCAGACTATAGACTAGACTATAGTCCAAACTATAGACTAGACTATAGTCCAGACTATAGACTAGACTATAGTCCAGACTATAGACTAGACTATAGTCCAGACTATAGACTAGACTATAGTCCAGACTATAGACTAGATTATAGTCCAGACTATAGACTAGACTATAGTCCAGACTATAGACTAGATTATAGTCCAGACTATAGACTAGACTATAGTCCAGACTGTAGACTAGACTACAGTCCAGACTATAGACTAGACTGTAGCCCAGACTATAGACTAGACTACAGTCCAGACTATAGACTTTGGCTTTTTCTTGACCAAAGAGTCCAGTCCAGTAGTATCGGCTGTAGTACAGTCCAGTAGCATCTAGACTATAATCCAGACTATAGACTAGACTACAGTCCAGACTACAGACAAGACTATAGTCCAGACTACAGACTATAGGCCATAGTCCAGACTATATGCTATAGTGCAGACTATAGACTAGACTGTAGTCCAGACTATAGACTAGACTATAGTCCAGACTATAGACTAGACTGTAGTCCAGACTATAGACTAGACTGTAGTCCAGACTATAGACTAGACTATAGTCCAAACTATAGACTAGACTATAGTCCAGACTATAGACTAGACTATAGTCCAGACTATAGACTAGATTATAGTCCAGACTATAGACTAGACTATAGTCCAGAGTATAGACTAGACTATAGTCCAGACTATAGACTAGACTATAGACTAGACTATAGTCCAGACTATAGATTAGACTATAGGCCAGACTATACGATATAGTCCAGACTATAGGATATAGTCCAGACTATGGACTAGACCATAGTCCGGACTATAGACTCTAGACTAGACTATAGATCAGACTATAGACTAGACTATAATCCATACTACAGACTTGACTGTAGTCCAGACTATAGACTAGACTATAGTCCAGACTATAGACTAGACTATAGTCCAGACTATAGACTAGACTATAGTCCAGACTATAGACTAGACTATAGTCCAGACTATAGACTAGCCTATAGTCCAGACTATAGACTAGACTATAGTCCAGACTATAGACTAGACTATAGTCCAGACTATAGACTAGACTATAGTCCAGACTATGGACTAGATTATAGTCCACACTATAGACTAGACAATAGTCCACACTATAGACTAGACTATAGTCCAGACTATAGAGTCTATAGTATAGTCTAGTCTATAGTCCAGACTATAGGCTAGACTATAGTCCAGACTATAGGCTAGACTATAGTCCAGACTATAGGCTAGACTATAATCCAGACTATAGGCTAGACTATAGTCCAGACTATAGGCTAGACTATAGTCCAGACTATAGGCTAGACTATAGTCCAGACTATAGGCTAGACTATAGGCTATAGTGCAGACTATAGACTAGACTATAGTCCAGACTATAGACTAGACTTTAGTCCAGACTATAGACTAGACTATAGTCCAAACTATAGACTAGACTATAGTCCAGACTATAGACTAGACTATAGTCCAGACTATAGACTAGACTATAGTCCAGACTATAGACTAGACTATAGTCCAGACTATAGACTAGATTATAGTCCAGACTATAGACTAGACTATAGTCCAGACTATAGACTAGATTATAGTCCAGACTATAGACTAGACTATAGTCCAGACTGTAGACTAGACTACAGTCCAGACTATAGACTAGACTGTAGCCCAGACTATAGACTAGACTACAGTCCAGACTATAGACTTTGGCTTTTTCTTGACCAAAGAGTCCAGTCCAGTAGTATCGGCTGTAGTACAGTCCAGTAGCATCTAGACTATAATCCAGACTATAGACTAGACTACAGTCCAGACTACAGACAAGACTATAGTCCAGACTACAGACTATAGGCCATAGTCCAGACTATATGCTATAGTGCAGACTATAGACTAGACTGTAGTCCAGACTATAGACTAGACTATAGTCCAGACTATAGACTAGACTGTAGTCCAGACTATAGACTAGACTGTAGTCCAGACTATAGACTAGACTATAGTCCAAACTATAGACTAGACTATAGTCCAGACTATAGACTAGACTATAGTCCAGACTATAGACTAGATTATAGTCCAGACTATAGACTAGACTATAGTCCAGAGTATAGACTAGACTATAGTCCAGACTATAGACTAGACTATAGACTAGACTATAGTCCAGACTATAGATTAGACTATAGGCCAGACTATACGATATAGTCCAGACTATAGGATATAGTCCAGACTATGGACTAGACCATAGTCCGGACTATAGACTCTAGACTAGACTATAGATCAGACTATAGACTAGACTATAATCCATACTACAGACTTGACTGTAGTCCAGACTATAGACTAGACTATAGTCCAGACTATAGACTAGACTATAGTCCAGACTATAGACTAGACTATAGTCCAGACTATAGACTAGACTATAGTCCAGACTATAGACTAGCCTATAGTCCAGACTATAGACTAGACTATAGTCCAGACTATAGACTAGACTATAGTCCAGACTATAGACTAGACTATAGTCCAGACTATGGACTAGATTATAGTCCACACTATAGACTAGACAATAGTCCACACTATAGACTAGACTATAGTCC